ATCTAAATGTGTTCCATAGCGATGCCAACAGAACTTATCCTGGGGCACAGTCCTCCGGTATACAATCCACTTCTGTACAGGCCTTTGGTGACGCCGACGATTACAACAAGATCGGTACCACCCAGAATACGACCGTGCCTGTCCACTGGTTCGTTGCCTTTGGACAACTTAAAAAACAACAATGACAGCAGTAACAAGCAGAAAAAGAGGGTCGTATTCGCCGACGATCGTGGCCGTCCACTTACTCAGGTACATATATATATATATATATATATATATACGTATATATGTTTGTGTGTATACATACATGTAACATATGTACGAACACGTTGTCACAAGAAAATTGATTTCTTATTGTAATGTATTGGGTAATTTTTTATAAAGGAGAACTTTCTTTTCTCTTTTTTTTTTTTCTTTTTTAATAAAATTTCATATACATATACAGACAAGAGGGTATCTCCCCTCCTCAATTTAAAGTTTCGCACGTAATAAACTATCTAAAATGACTTTTGTTTCTTTATGCGTAACTGGAATTACCTTGAACGATCGAAGTGTGTCAATGAATTTCTAAACGAAGACATATAGTTCCGTATAAAAAAAGAAAAGGAAAAAAAAAAAAAAAAAAGAAAGAAAAAAAGGAAGTAAAATAAAATGATCAAGAAGAAGAAAAAAAGAGAAAAAGAAGAAAAATAGAAATAATATATGACTGTATCATCTTTTAAATATAAAATCTTGAAAAATTTCTTGTCAAAACGAAAATGTCTATAATCCAGCAAGAGGGAAAAAAAAATATATATATACATACACATGCATATATTTTATATATGCATTTATATACATATATAAAATATTTCGAAACATTTTTGAATAATATTTTGAATATGTCACGTAACAGGTACGTGTAATGTCGGAACCAAGTAACGTTCCGCCATTATGGACTACGGCATATATCGAAGAAGTAACCGGAGGACTCTTGAGAACAAAAATCGACAACGAGGTAACGCAAGATACTACAACACCGCCATGGCAGGTGACGTTTCCTCAGCCAGCGAGTGATTATCTTGCATTTCGCCGTAAACTCGATCAAGACAATGTTAGTTTGGAGAACGTGATCGTTCGTGAATCCGAACAGGCACTAGTTGGTACAGTGAAAGTGCGAAATCTTGCATACGACAAGGAGGTCGTTGTAAGAGCAAGTACCGACATCTGGAAGACCCACGAGGACAATTATTGTACCTATGTTGAACAACCCGGTGCACCGGCACTCATCCTCTACGACACCTTCCGTTTTCGTCTTACGTTGCCATTGAAATCTGACAATATTGAATTCTGCGTTAGATATCGTACCGATGGACAGGAATTCTGGGACAACAACGAGGGCAAAAATTATGTTGTCCGAAAAAGACAGGAGGTGTGTTCATCTCGTTCTCTTTGAATATTGACAAAAATTTATCGGGTAAGGTCTTGTTCTAATACATATATACAATAAATGTATTTATACTTAAGTGTATATAAATATATAGATATGCTATATATAATATATTATATGTAAAAGAAAAAAAGAAAAAAGAAAAGAACTAAAAAGAGACAATAACGATAAGATGAAGAAATTAGAGTTTTCTTTTTATCTTTGACAATGGCCTAGCAATTTTTTGCCGCGAATTGAAAAAGAAAGAACAAAAGAAAACAAATTTATTCCCCGTATACGTATATATAAATTTGTTTTTTGTTTCTTTTTTTTTTCCCCTTTCTTTCTTATTTTTTAAATCACATATATCGCATATTTACATATAATAGAATATATAGCATATATACCTAATACATTTTATTTATATATGTATGTTACTATCGGTTCGGGATTTTATATATACATATATACATATATATGTGTGTATATATATATGTATATAATTTTATTAGATTTCTCGGTGTCGGTACGTACGTCGGGATTACTACTTACTTGACACGCGAAGACCGCGTCTCTCACGGTTTTATTTAAGGATCACCACGAGGATGACCTTTACTTCGCCCTCTCGCTCTCTACCCAGTGAACTTTGCATTAGGGAAAAGGAGAGAAGGAGGAGAAACGAGAAGAAATCGCGTCGAGTCTTGCGAGTTTATTAATTAAAAGAAACGATACTCTTTCTTTTCTCTCTCTCTCTCTCTCTCTCTCTTTCTCACACACACACACAAACCCTTTCTCTCTCTCTCTCTCTCTCTCTCTCTCTCTCTCTCTCTTTCTCTCTCTTTCTCACACACACACACAAACCCTTTCTCTTTCTCTCTTCTCTCTCTCTCTCTCTCTCTCTCTCTCTCTCTCTCTCTCTCTCTCTCTCTCTCTCTCTCTCTCTTTCTTTCTCTCTTTCTCTCTTTACGTCTTTTTAAATCTTACAACGCCAACATTGGCTAACTTCTCATAAACATCGGACTCCACGCTAACTATTACAAATTACGCTACTACTCAATCATATCACGTGGCAAGAAAGAGAGAGAGAGAGAGAGAGAGTAAGAGAACAATGGCCTTTAAAGCATTCTAACAGCCAACGCTTATTCCAATTTGTATCGATCGAGAGGTGTAATTTTAGAAGCTTCGTGTCAATGAGATCACCAATCAAAGAGAGACCGTTCTTCGTTCTTAAAATGAACGACGCGAAAAGTCGACACAGAGAAAATAATATTATTTTATTTATATAATTTCAAATAATAGTTTCGAATGTACAATGTTTACGATCACGTGTACTATTTTCAATTTCTTATCAAACCGATCGTTATTACAGAATAATTATTTATTTATGTATTTATTTATTTGGTTATTTATTTATTTATTTAATTTAAATATATGAGATAATAAAGATAAAATATCTTTTACATCGGCTCAATATATATGTATATATATATGTATATATATATATTGAATTGATTATTCAGAATATATAATATAATCTAAAGTAATAGAGTTAACATAGTTTTGCTCGTTTTATTTTTTTCTTTCAATATATATTACATTTTATATATATACATAAATACATACATAGATATATATGATCAGCTGTTTAAAAATGAATGAAAAATTAATCAAGTGTTATTGATATTTCAGCCAAGGGCACCGCCTAAACGATATGATCTCTTGGCAGCCACGTGCAATGGGTTATCAAGTAACAACAATATTTGCAACATGAGCAATGACGGAAACAACGGACTGAGTATACCACGTATATCCGATGCAAGACGAATTAACGTTCGTACGTGGAGTGAATTCGCATCGTGGCATCATTTAAACAACGATGCTCCCTATTGGTGAAAAAAACAAATAACAAAATGAACAAACAAACAAACAAACAAACAAACAAACAAAAAAAAAATGTTAACCCCTTTTTGTGGATCCCTCGTCAAACGATGTACAAAAATGTACGAATATTCATAATAATTCCAGCGTTAAATCCTGGAAAAAAATAGTCGAGCTGTGAATCCGTTCGATCGGGGGGTCTTATGAAGAGGGGGATGGGGAGATGATGATACGAACTGAGATATAAGGGGTGGAACGACGAAATATTTTTTTTCGTTCGTCGATGCAAAAACGAACAGTGATACAAAGAGAAGAAAGAGAGAGAGAGAGAGAGAGAGAGAGAGAGAGAGAGAGAGAGAGAGAGAGAAGAGAGAGAGAGAGAGAGAGAACACGATTATTGAGAATGAAATCCAAAATACATTGGCAGGGAAAAAGAAAGGAAAATATGAGAAAACGATGATTGAAGAGGAGGATATTTCTTAAAATCTTTTTTTTTTTTTTTTTTTATTTTTATTTTTATTTTTATTTCTTTTGTTTCTATTATTATTTTTTTTTTTTTTTTTTTTTTTTTTTTTTTTTCTTCACTTTTTTTTTCTCTCGACGAATTACGAGAAGCAACGACGATAGTTAAGATGACGATAATAATAGACGTCGGACGAGAAAAGTTCTCGTTGAAAAGAGGAAAAAAGATGTGATGCGGCTAAGAGAAAGAGATCAGAGTGAGAGAAAGAGAGAGAGAGAGAGAGAGAGAGAGAGAGAGAGAGAGAGGGAGAGAGAGAGAGGAGGAGAAAAAGAAGGAGAAGGAAGACGTAATAAAAATAAAGAGAGTCATACAGACTTCGGGCTATTGGATAGCACGGATCGATGGAAACCAGTATTAATGCTCACGTAGCTCTTATGGTAAGCATCTAATTATCTTTGTGGTAGTATATATTTACTTTGATTTTGTTGGATCGAAAGAAAAATATTTAAGAGAAATATATTCAGAGAGAGATAGAGAGATAGAGAGAGAGAGAGAGAGAGAGAGAGAGAGAGAGAGAGAGAGAGAGAGAGAGAGAGAGAGAGAGAGAGATCAGCTGTTTTTGACATATCAACTCTTTGCACTATGAAGTCAATCTTCTGAGATGTGATACTTGAATATATGAAATTAATTTTACAAAAAAAAAAAAAAAATTATTTTCGAAATATATGTACATACACACACACGCGCGCGCGCGTGCACGTTTTTATACATATATATATATATGTATGTATATATGTATGTATGTATGTATGTATGTGTATATGTATACTCGAAAAATAAAAACTAAAGAAGTAATTATAATGCAAAGAGTTAAATAAACGATCGTCTAATTATAAAAAGCTATTACGGCGAAATGAAAAAAAAAAAAATTTGAATCGCGAATTGAAGTATTTATTTAACCTGAAATATTTCTAAAAGACATTTGCAATCGGAACGAACTCGAAGACGAAACGATCGACGAAAGTTTTCAAACGATACTCGAAGAAGACAAGACGGCAAACGTGCTTCACGTGATCGTACGATTAAACATATACGATATATGTACATAAATAAATACATGTACATACATACGTATATAAGATACATACATAACATACATATATACATAATATATGTATATACGTATATACACCTTTAAACTTTCTCTCTATAAATAACAATTCACTGTAGTGTTGCGATAACAGGCGCGACCGAGAAGACACTCGTGCGACTCTAATCGCCTTTACCTAAGGTCGCCGTTAGAACGAACGAATATTACCCGCTGATTTCATCTAACCGATCTATCGTTTATATTCTGCAAATCCTCGTCGTGACTGAGCAGTCGATTGTGTCCGGTTTCTTTTGATGACTTTTCTCTTTTTTTCTTCCTTTCTTTCGTTCCTTCTTTCTATCTTTTTTTTTGTCTTTTATTTATTTATTTTTTTTTCTTTCTTTCTTTCTTTCTTTCTTTTGTTTCTTTTGTTTCTATCAGTCACGAGAAGTCGATACCGACAAGGCCAGAAATAGGTAAATTCTATTTATAAATGAACACCCACATAAACTACGGTAAATCCATTTCGATTCGCATGCCAAAATGATCTTTCGAAATTTCAACAAATATTCTCTTTCCGTACGAATTCTACGTCAAATTAATCGTATAGCGTGAACTGTCTCAAATTGTTGGCTCTTTTCAAATTACGCCAAGAGTTTTCCGATATTTAATTTCATCTTGTTACAATGATTCATTCGTCTTACAATGATTCATAACGATTGTATAAATCAGTTAGGTATTATTATTTTTGGAACATCAATTGTGTGTTTCTACGAAATGAATAGATACAATTTTCTTTGCGGATGATTCGACAAAAATTAATTGTTCCTTTTTCTTTGAGACTCCCCTTTTTTCTTTTTTTTATTTTTTTTTTTTTTTTTTTGCCAATGATCTTTTTCTTCTCTTTTCTTTTTACAATCTGAAAATAAAAACAAAAATTTTTCGAAAGAGAGAAAAAGAGAGGGGAATAGAGAGACAGAAAGAGAGAGAGAGTGATTGTTTCGTAAAAAAAAAAATATATATATATATATACATAAAAAAAAAAAAACTTTGTATTCATCATTTTGTATTATTTCTTATAATTACGATTAAAACTCTTAAAACACGGGTAATTTAACGAGTAATCTTCGTAATGTTAATAATAATTCGTTGAAAAGAAGTGTTACAGATATAAATTAGATTCAATGATGAATATCTTAAAAGGAGATCCTTGGCCTACTGCCAAGTGATCTTCCTGAACGGATCTAGGAAATGTTTTAATGCGACGTTGGACACCAACATTCTAATACATACCAATACGTACATACTAGTGATCAAAATGTACACCGTGCGATTTTTCTTATCCTTGACATCCTATTCGTTGCCTGAGGTGTCGTTTAAACCTTGCAAATATAGGTTGCAAGAACGTAGATAGTTTAGTGCGAACTCAATTTGGATTCTTAACTCGACAAAATTCGAAAGCATTCGATTGCGAAATGTTACCCCGACGAAGACGCGTTAACCTACTTTAAAATTTTTCTTTTTTTTTTTTTTTTTTCTTTTTTTTTTTATTGTTCCTACCGTCATGCATTTTTAACGAAGTGACTTTCCTCTTCCTCCCCCTCCTACTACCTCCCCTACTTCTCTGTCTAAAACGTCAGAGGAAAAAAAAAGACAAACTTTCGATTTTATTTCGCGAGTTTATATTCGCGCCAGTAATAATACGACAGTCGATTAAATCTTGTATGTGTGTTTTTCTCTGTGTGTGGTTGTATTTTTCTTATTGAGATATATTGCACGTGATTGAAAAATATTTTTCAAAATTTGCGTTCCTCGTAACGTATATGTTTTATTTAATTATGACCTTTTCTTTTTTTTTTTTTTTTTTTTTTTTTTTTTTTTTTTTTTTTTTTTTTTTTTTCTTTTTTTTTTCCTTTTCTTTTTTCTTTCCACGAGTATCGTATAAAAATTCTCTTTTTGTACATTCTATTTTCAAAATGACTTGAACATCTTGAAAGTTCGATATATCGTATCTTTTTTCTTCCTCTTTTTCATTTTTTTTTTTTTTTTGAAAACGATTAAAAATCTAATCTTTTTTTCAGTCCATACTTATAACATACAATTTTTAATTTACGACAATATACATATATATATATGTATGTGTGTGTGTGTGTGTGTGTACATACATTTTTATTAATAATACAAAAGAATAATAAAAATAAAAATTGATCAAGCATGTTAAATTTGTATCCGTCTTAATCTATTATATTAAAAAAAAAAAAAAAAAAAAAAAAAAAAAAAAAAAAAAAAAAAAAAATAAGACCGAGGAAAGAATACAAAATAGAGTTATGTACGTAACAGATGTATGTACATATGTACATATGTTTTAGCTGTATCAGGAATATCGAGGACGAGGCATATCCAGGATAACAGTGTCCATATATATGTATATATATATATATATATATATATATATATATATATATATATTTATTTATTTATGTATTAGTCGTGAGGCGTGGTTGAAAAGTAGTGGCACTGGATCATATATGCATACATACTTGCACATATATATACATATATATATATATATCGGAGTATGCGGAGCAACTACAGAGCATTCGTGTCATATACCACGCCTCGTGTGACCACCGTAAAAAGTTTAAGACGTCTAGACGCGTG